AGTTCCCCCAAACTACATTACAGTATGTAAATTAAGGTAACACTAATGCATTATATAATGTATAAAGTATTTTCTCGGGTACAAGATCCCTCATTTTACCAATTACCCCAACTGCCCTTGAAATTGATGTTGTAAATATTATTTACATGATTATTCCAAGTAAGCTTTGAATCCAAAGTTATACCTAAAAATTGTGTCGATTTCCTTTGAACTATAGAAATATTATCAATAACAATGTTTATAACATGATCAAAGTGTGTTTGGGAAGCACAAAAATTTATAAAACATGTTTTATCTAAATTAAGGGACAATTTATTGCATTTAAACCATGTTGAGATTTTAACTAATTCATTATTGAGAGTATAAATTAGAGTATTCAAGCATTTATGAGAATAAAATATGTTGGTGTCATCTGCGAAAAGCAGATGACACTATCTAAAAATGTTGTGATCCGATCTGCGTCCTTGTTGTAGTGTAAAGGAGAAAAGTAGAAAAAACATTTGATAGGAGTGAAATATAGAAGACAAATATTTGTGCTCGCTTGCTTCGCTCACTCGCAATTTTTGGGATATGGATAAAACATCCTCACGACCCTCACACGAAATGTGCCCGTTCGTCTTTGTTTACGAAGGATGGAAAACAAATCCTCTTTGATGAATTTTGGATTTGGGTGATGCGGAACTTTTAAACTCCTATATATGGGTGCCGTGACTAAGAAAAAAGGAAAGAAAAGAAAAACGCTGATCTAAAGACCGCCCTCCCCCATGACCGTTTAAAGGATGTCTTATTAAGTATTCCTGAGCGTCGCCTCTTGAAATGTGAGAACTTGACAGCGACATCATTTTTTATAATATAAATATGAACAAGATATAAATCGGCATTACGTTAGTGAGATCACTTTTCCCGATCGTTTTTTTTTAAACATGTATTTTAAACATAGTCTATTTAATTCATATACTTTAATTTAATTTACTTATAATTATAATCTTTTTGAAGATTAGTTTTATGATATCAATACAAATCTTTACGGGATCTTTACAGGATCCTTATGTTCTGACACGTATTTCGGACGTCGGTGGGCGTACCGCGTACCAACTGGACCAAACTGGCTACGCGCATAAAATACAAAAATGCTTTGAAGATAAATTAACTTTACGGAGTCATTACTCCGTATTTGCTCGGGTGATGCATTTTTTAAAACAAATAACTTTCATTGGAGACATCAGCTAAACATATTGTTTCTTGAACACTGCCATGATAGCAATGGCGCAAATTTCATTCACATGCAGTAAAACCTGCTTTAGCGACCACCTGTATTGAACGATCACCTGTCTACAATGACAATCATTTCTCGTTGACACATGAAGTAAAGAAACTTGTACAGTTGTACTTAAAGACCACCTTCCTATAAAGACCAATTTTCTTGTCTCACTTCAGCGGTCTTTCCATACATGTTTCACCGAGTACATGTACTATATAACCATCTCCTCGACCACATAGATTTAACGAGTGTCTCAAGGCAATTTTTATCCTTACATTACATGACTTTAATTAGACATACTTCCTTTCATTTTATAATTTCTCTTGATACTTTGAATGTTTGCTGAAGAATAACATTAATAATAATTCCTTCATTAGTTTCCTGCAAAGTTCATCGCGTCACTAAATGATGACAAATTGGAATAATGCGAAGGAAAATATCAAGAAAGATATCAAGGAAAATATTTCTTATCACAATGATAAATATGTGTTGACGTACAACGAAGAGTCAAGACTAAATATAGCATTCAACAAAAACGATTATTAAAAGACTATTATCTTAGAGATCAGCAATTCAATATACATCGCCATTACACATTCATGTTAACTCAATCTTTATCGCAATAGTTTGTTGTACTTTGATCATAAACTTATCAGGAATGACATACACCTTTTAAATATCATAAATAACGACTCAAATACATCTTGGTAGCGATAATATAAAATGTTGTCAATCATTGATAGGCTTGGTCGAATCAGGGAAGCTGTGTTGGTGAATACTTAAACACTTCGACAACCAGGGTGCTTTCAGTTGATATAAATGCCACGGAAGGGCACAATGGCGTCAATCGCAAGTTCACTATTGCTTTGCTGTATTTTAGTCATCCTTTATGTAGCAGATGTTCAGTCTGGTAAGTCATTTCACTCCTTTGAATATCTAAGATTCATTAACATTACCTCTAGATTGTTTTGTTTATATATCAAAGATATTGTCACATATTTCTAGACTTCTATTGAAGATAACAATGAGCAGTTGGGAAACGTAGACGGTGTTGTCCATACAAATTGATTGCCTATCCCTTTCTTGCTTTCTTCTATTTATAATGTATATTATGTATTTGTGTATTCGGGCGTACCCATTACAAGCCCTGCTTATCGGGTTTCGCGCCTTCTTCCTTGTAATACAAGTTCCTTAATTATATTACTGTTCCTGCGTATAAATTGTATTGTTTGACAAGATGTTAAATATGTTGTCGAATTGAATGGAAGAAAATAAATGTTCATTTGAATTGAATTGAATTGAATAATGTCACGTTTTGGAATTATCAAAATGTAAATAAATTGTCTCGGTCGTACTGAAAATTTCATGTACATATGGGTTTATTATGGGTACACATAAACGTTTTACTTGGAAATTTGGTCCAAATTCTTAGCTCTTTCTCGTCATATCCCGGATGTGAGGCCAGTTAAAGAGCATTTCCCTTTCAAAGGAAATTTCTACTATGATATTCTTCCAAAATAAAATAAACAGTGTGAGAATGTTCATGATTTTTCCGACTGTATCAAAACTCAATCTTCACTTGAATAGTTTCATTCAGCTTATTACATAGTGGCGTATCTGGAATTTATCCATATATTATCCACTTCTATAATTATCGGGGAGAAAAATTAATGAAATCCACGAATTATATTCGAGAAATTTAGTAATGCAATAGAAGTCAGAATTTCGTTTGTATATTGAACCTTTTAAAGCATTTTATCTTTTACTTTTCTCAACAATTGAACCGAATCATGGTGAAATTGATATGCGAGGCAGCAATGCATCAAGCGTAAGATTTAAAGACCGTCAATACTACTCTGCCATAAGGGACCACACAGCGAGGTCACTGACAGGTGGCTATCTCATTAACTCAGCTCTCAACTAACATGAGAAAAAGAGGATCATGGGGTATCAACACGCACCGATGGGGATGTTTTCTATATAGAGGGAGCAAGTAGCTACAAGTAGAACAGGGGGCTTTAAAAACGTTCTAATGAGGCAATGTTTTAGATGATTTTTTTTTTGTTTAAGTTCCAAATCAGTACAAATTATGTAATCATGATCTTGTCGGTCATGTGGAAGTGCAATTAATATAAATAAGAGCCCTTTATCAAGAGCATGCTTTTTAGCTATACAAAATTCGAATGATTCCATTGTTTGACGATCCTTGCTGAATGCCGCAGATTTACATCTTGAAAGTTAGTGGACTTCATTCATTGGTATTTATGTGTATGTCACTAACTTTTCAAGACGTTTCATTAAAAAAGCTTTTCTGTGGTACGAAGAAATAACATTCAATGTCCAGTATAAGGTTAACGCATCAAATACTTTAACAGGCAAATATTGCTATTCTATTCTGTTTTTTAGTATTGAAAATTGGGATGCGGTATATCACTATGCCCCTCGAAATCACGTTATAGTTTCAACCGTGCCCCTCGAATCAGTCAATATTTATTTACTAGTATCAATAGTAAACATTACCTTTAGCTCGAAATTAGTATAAATTGATAACGCTATGATCAAAGGAAGGTCTTTAGAAAATGGTCAATTGAAATTAGGAAACTCAATATTCTTAGTTCTTTCTATATGCGAGATGCAGTTGAAATTATTTGTTTATTTCATGTATTGTCATGTTTGTAGTCCCAGGGCCCCGTTTCATGAAACTTCTTATCACTAACTAGTTACAGTAATTGTTATAAGCTACTGAAATCGTGGCATTTGATTGGCTGAAAGGTACTTTGTCGTAGTTCACTAACTGACACTATTTTGGTTCTCAAATGCATAGAAAATTTATTTTGAAATACAACAATTAATAAATCCCTCGGACCAAATTTACTCCGTTTGATGAACAGTTTTTTTCTTCCTCCTAGCGATGTATCGAAGGTAAGCTTACAGCCATTGGGGGGATACTGGAGTTAATGAGTGGAACCTGCTTTATCAGATGGAAAAATTGCGAACGAACTGGGTTAATGACTCAGGGAGGAAGGAGAAGGGGTCGTGTGGGCCGGGGTCGTATCGTGTTATTCTAATGTTCCTCCCCTCCCTTGTTTCTATTCCCTGTCTCTCTTTTCCTCTTTCTTTACATGGAGGGTGAGGGGAGGGGGAGAGGGGAGCATAGTGGTAACGACGGCTAATTCCACCTTTCTGACCGTATTCATGATTTTAGAAGGACGAACAAACACAGGTGCCTTGGTGTTAAGTATGTTTGAAAGACACTGTTGTCCGTAAACTTGGATTAAATTATTTTTCTTACCTATTTACATGAAATCTTAGTGACAATATGATTTATTCTTGATAGTTCAAGTTTATATTTTCTCAGAGCTTTATAGATCAATTTCTATGACTCCTTAGATTGATCAATAAAGTTCAGAGAAGATAATTATACACTTTATTTATATCAAAAATAAATCATGTCACAAGCATGATGATAATTTCATGAACAGAAGTAAGACATATTTATTCCAACTTTAGGGACAGCAGTGTGTTTAAATATGCGTTGGTGTGTTGTGTATGAGTGTGTGTGTGGGGGGGGGGAGGGGGTTGAAGCGGATTGGTTTATATGAGGTTTACTTCGCCTACTATGTTGAATTTTCGATATATTTCCAAATTTCTCAAATGTGGAACAGCTGGAGAGGGCTTCGTTCGTCTCCAAGATGGAATGTCAAATGCCGAGGGACGAGTTGAAATCTACCACGACGGCGAGTGGGGAACAATCTGTGACGACTTTTGGGACGTCGCGGACGCAACTGTGGTCTGCAGATGGTTAGGCTACGTGCGAGCCAGCAAGGCCAAATCAGCAGCCTTCTTTGGCCCTGGTCAAAGCTCTGAGCCAATCTGGTTGAGTAACGTCAATTGCACGGGGGAGGAAGATGAATTATCTGCGTGTGCCAGCAGTGATTGGGGAGACACCCAATGCTCTCACCAAGAGGATGCATCAGTCTTATGTACTAATCTTTCAGGTACTTTCTATTTGTTTTTGTCTTTTCAAAAATGTTAACACTAAAGCCCCTTTCACAACGGATCTGGGTATAGTTGCGTAGTGTCGCGTACCGACTACGCCGAAGTTAGGCTGCGTATTCATGAAAAAAATGATGCTTCGGTGTAGTCCCTGCGTAGATTATGCGTAGGCTGGCGTACGGTGGCGTATGGTTACGTACCCTGTGTGTAGGCACCGCGTACCTACGGCGTATGCAATTGGCATAGGGTTACGAAAGCTTAAGGGGCTTCCACACCGGGCATACTATTGCGTAGGCATGGCGTACAGTAGCGTAGTGTTGCGTAGACCTGTGTACTTTCTGCGTATAGTGTCTACGCCGAAGGTACGCGAAAGCGTCCATCTCGCGTACCCAATTGCACCCCTCAGCGTTACGTAGGCCGGCGTAGGGTTGCGTACGCTCGGCGTAGTCGGTACGCAACACTACGCAACTCTACACAAGGCCCGGTGTGAAAGCCCCTTAAGGCCCGGTGCTTAAGAGGCGTTATTTAAATTGGCACCATTCAAAGGATTTAGTTAGGCATAGGCCTATATAAATACACAGAACCGATCCAGGCGCAATCTATATCTAGCCACATACCCAACCCTTGGTGTAGGGGCCGATGGCCAATAGTGCACGGTTTCGGATTCGTCTGAAAATCCAAACATCGAAAATGGGCGTAACTATAATTTATGATATGATTTTCCTTCAGCGTAGTGAGATCATCTAAAGGTTTTGTTTAAATACCATATGAACGCACCTTCCCGAGTTTCGAACCCGGGGGGGGGGGGGGGTGTTTTATAAAGCTGTTCGTAAAGTTACGCATGACTTTACAAACGACTTGTATATGAAAAGCCAAATGGGACGCTCAATCATTATTGATTATTATTTATTAAGTTGAACTGTGCAGATGTAGATTAACATTTTTATTATAACAACCATTTTTAATGCAAAGTAAATTTTTTGCCATAATTTATTTGAGGTTATTGGAAATATCAGAAAAAACTTTGGGCATCCTACCTGGCACATCATATACAAGTCGTTCGTAAAGTCATGCGTAACTTTACGAACTCTTTATGAAACACCCCCAGGTCGCAAAGACTTTCCAGAAGTCACCTGAATTGCAATGTCAAAACCGTGATGCATTTGCCTGTAAGAAACATATGTTTAGATTACGTAATATATCATTGTCAAGTTTGCGTATTTTAGGAGGTGATGCATAATCATATATTGTAAGTGGATATTTGAAAGCCTTTGCGATCGTGCTTTCGGTACAACAGGATTACCATAAGTATGTTTTGTTTTTAATTTAATTTTCATTCTAAATGTTTAGAAGATGAAGGTGAGTTGCTTTTAAAGGACGGACAGGATGATAACTGCGGCAGGGTGGAGATCTTTCACTATGTCGAATCCTATAACGGCGTATGGTATTTAAAGTATGGTATTTCAAAGTCTTTGCGATCGTGATTTTGGTACAACAGGATTTATTTTATTGTTATTCTAAAAAAATAGAATATGAAGGTGAGTTGCGTTTGATGGACGGACAGAGTGATAACTACGGCAGGGTGGAGATCTTTCACTACAACGAATCCCATAACGGCGTGTGGGGGTCGATTTGCAAAGACGGCTGGGGGTACGACGAAGCCAGAGTTGTTTGCACCCAGCTGGGCTTCCCTTATGTTGCATCACCCTTCCGGATCCCTTACTTTGGACCAGGCAATGGACCGATCCATCTGACAAACGTGGCATGCACTGGAATTGAAACATTTTTACCGGACTGTCCACAACTTCACTGGGGCAAGAACAACTGCAGTCATGCTGATGTTGTTGGTGTTGAGTGTTCCTACCCCCAGCCAACACCCGTCGCGCCCGAAGGTAAGGACGAACTCAGTGCGTGTGAGTGTGTGTGTTTATGAGTGAGAATGACAGTTCTATTGGGATCGTTTCACATTAATGCGAGGTGAAAAGGGGGCTTTTATGAGAATGGGGAAATGGCTCTTATTACAAATAAAAAGAGGCACATGTTAAAATAAACGGGGCTCTTATCAAGGACGAAAAGGGGTTACCATGAAAAGGGGAAGAGACGCTTATAAGAAGGGAAAAGAGCATTTATCAGAAAGAAAAAGGGGTACGTGTACTGGGGCACTTTTCTTATGTAATAGGAAGGGGCACTGTGCTCTCCCGCCTGCCCCTCCCCCGAAAGGGCCGCCTCTGGTTAGTATAGGAAATCAACGCATAGCAACTGTCGCAGGAGCAAGTGTCGAACAACCCCATCAAGTAGGCCAATACCACTCCCTAGGAAACGACAGAATAACGAGTATAACGTTTGGTAACGCGGTTAAGTCGTCAATTGGCAACTAGCAAACCGAATCAACACAAACCAACAAGCAATAGGTTCTCATTGTTTTATAGATCAACTTCTATGACTCCTTAGATTGGTCAATAACACTTTATTTATTTCAAGAATAAATCATATCACAATCATGACAATCATTTCATGAAAAGAAGTAAGAAATATTTATTCCAACTTCATGGACAGCATAGCATCTAAACGTACTTTATTGTGTTGTGTGTGTGTGTGTGTGCGTGTGGGTGCGTGTGTGTGTGTGCGTGTGTGTGTGTGTGCCTGTGTGTGTGCGTGTGTGTGTGTGTGTATGGGGGGTTAGGGTTGAAGAATGGACAATACGGATTGGTAGTTATGAGCTGTACTTCACCTACTTTGTTGAATTTTCGATATATTTCACAATTTCTCAAATGTGGAACAGCTGAAGAGGGCTTCGTTCGTCTCAGAGATGGAATGTCAAATGACGAGGGACGAGTTGAAATCTACCATGACGGCGAGTGGGGAACAATCTGTGACGACTTTTGGGACGTCGCGGACGCAACTGTGGTCTGCAGATGGTTAGGCTACATGCGAGCCAGCAAGGCCAAATCAGCAGCCTTCTATGGCCCTGGTCACAACTTTCAGCCGATCTGGATGAGTAGCGTCAATTGCACGGGGGAGGAAGAGGAATTATCTGCGTGTGCCAGCAGTGACTGGGGAGACAACCAATGCTCTCACCGAGAGGATGCATCAGTTGTTTGTACTAATTTGTCAGGTATTTTCTATTTGTTTTTGTATTTCGAGTTTATTTCCAAAAGGATTTACCAGCTTTTGTACAGGCATATATGTACTTAAGTGAACAATGTTCTGATATCACTAACTCAATTTTCATCAAGAGGGGATTTAGCTCCTTTTGGAATTAAGCTCTTCATTTTCAAAAATGTTAACACTAAGGCCTCGTGCCCGTTATTTAAATTCGTACCATTCAAAGGATTTATAGTCAGGCATATATAAATACACAGGACCGATCCAGGCGCAATCTATAGCCACAGACCCAAGCCTTGGAGTAGGGGCCGATGGCCAATAGTGCACGGTTTCGGATTCGTCCGAAAATCCAAACATCGAAAATGGGCGTAACTATAATTTATGATATGATTTTCCTTCAGCGTAGTGAGATCATCTGAAGGTTTTAAAAAAATACCATATGAACGCACCTTCTCGAGTTTCGAACGCGGTCGCAAAGACCTTCCAGAAGTCACCTGAATTGCAATGTCAAAAGCGTGATGTATTTTCCTGTAAGAAACATATGTTTAGATTACGTGATATGTCATTGTCAAGTTTGCGCATTTCAGGATGTGATGCACAATCATGATATTGTTAGCGTAAGTGGATATTTATAAGGCTTTGCGATCGTGCTTTCGGTATATACAACATGATTACCATAAGTATGTTTTGTTTTTTATTTTATTTTTATTCCCAAATGTTTAGAAGATGAAGGTGAGCTGCGTTTGATGGACGGAAAGGATGATAACTACGGTAGGGTGGAGATCTTTCACTACAACGAATCCCATAACGGCGTGTGGGGGTCGATTTGCAAAGACGGATGGGGGTACGACGAAGCCCGAGTTGTTTGCAACCAGCTGGGCTTCCCCTATGTTGCATTACCCTTCCGGATCCCTTACTTTGGACCAGGCAGTGGACCGATCCATCTGACAAACGTGGCATGCACTGGAACTGAAATATATTTACCGTTCTGTCCACAACTTCACTGGGGCAAGAACAACTGTAGTCATGCTGATGTTGTTGGTGTTGAGTGTTCCGACTTCCAGTACGGCCCGACAACATTTCCCGCGCCCATAGCCGGTAACGACGAACTCAGTGTTTGTTTATGACAGAGAGAGAGAGAGAGATAGAGAGAGAGAGCGAGAGAGAGAGAGAGAGTGTGTGTTCTGTTGGGATTGATCTACATTGCTGCAAGCTTCTTCATTTATCGGAGGTGAAAGGGGGCTTTATGAGAATGGGACGTGGGTCTTATGAAAAAAGTGGTGCACATGTTAAAGTAAACGGGGCACTTATCCAAAAATGAAAAGGGGTAATTATGAAAAGGGGAATGGACACTTATAAGAAGGAAAAAAGCATTTATTAGAAAGGAAAAGGGGCACGTGTAAAAATAAAAGGGGCACTTATCAGAGATGAAAAGCGGAAGGGGCACTTCTTACAAAGTTAAAGGGGCACTTTTCCTATGTAAAAGGGAGGAGCATTGTGCTCCCCCGCCTGCCTCCTCCCCCGGGAGGGCCGCCTCTGGTTAGTATAGGAAATCAACGCAGAGCAACTGTCGCAGGAGCAAGTGTCGAACAACCCCTTCAAGTAGGCCAATACCACTCCCTAGGAAACGACAGATTAACGAGTATAACGTTTGGTCACGCGGTTAAGTCGTCAAACGGCAACTAACAAACCGAAACAACACAAACCAACAAGCAATAGGTTATATCAATCTTCTGAAAATTTCGTTCTAGATCGTAAAACCCCCCGTAGTGTAATAATTTCCTTTCATTTTTTATTTCCTTTGTGATAAAGCTGAGCACTGGTCATGCGATTACATTGTGAAGGAAACTGTCTGAAAGCAAGACTGTGAAAATGGTTGAAAAGAAAGTGCAAACGAATAGTGTGAACTTTTGGGATATTCCAAATGACTCATAAACAATTTACCCAAGTTTGCTGAAACTGTCATAAAGTTCACACATTTGTTTTTGGTCAGATTTGTAATATAGGAGCCTTGAAAGAGCAATCCTAATCAGGGTACACTATTCTTCCAAATTGACATAAAATATTTTGAGAAGAATTGGAGAGCTCAAAGACTTTTCAGTCTTACAACACTCTCAACCTTTTCTTTGACATTTTTTATTATCATACAGAACATACTACAGCCTTAGCTGGCTGGTTGATTGCGATCATCGTGATTTCCTGTCTTGGTTTCTGCGGAATGATCGTCGTCTTTGGTGCTGTTCTGTATTTCGCCAAGCAAGGATCTTCAAACGTCACTTCATCCCAAGGCCAAGGGTATCCCACCGCTGCCACCTTCTCTCCAGGGCAGCCGCCAATGGAGCTCCCACCATCATACACCAACGCGGTTGCATCCAGTTTCCCTGCAGAAAAGGATCAGAGTTGTATCACAACCTTAGATGAATTAAAACAAAAGGAGTGATTTTTTCTTTAGGTGGGAAATGAGATAAATAGGAATGTGGAGAACATTACAAAATCATGGAAGATTGCGAATGACTGTAATTCATTTTTAAATCATTCGACCGAGGTCAAATTTTACCTATCTCCCCTCCTTTCTCTTCATCTTTGATGGGAGGGGGGGGGGGTGTGGTCAGAGGGAATGGCACGTTAATCCATGCCCCCTCATAGCTCCATTAGTTATAGGGTGGATGTAGTAACCACATTCGTATTTTCAAATATTTCTTAAGCCTTCCATATTAAATTTGTTTTATATTTTACATGTTTGTCTCATCTTAATCATTAAAGTTGTGTATGTAGATATTCTATGGTCTAAGAATTATTGCTTATGTCAGAGTGTACTATAACATGAGGCGGAAAACAAATAAACAATACAGCCATTTTCTTGTCAACCTCGTTGCAAGAAATAGCTTTTCAATAAATTGAGGCACATACTCTAATAATAATAACAATAGAAATGTCCATTTATATAGGTTATAGATACAAATTATAATTTGAAGTATCACATTACATTACTGCAGGACCATTATGTAAAACAGCCTGCGAGCTGATTAATGTTATCCTGTTAAAAGATGTTTTTAATAAATAAATAAATAAATAAAAATTATCAACCTAGCTGTAGCTGAGCTGCAATGATAAGGCGCTCAAGCATTCAATGATGCTTTCAATCTTTAAAACATTGTGAGAGGAAGGTCGCCATCTACTGTCGAACATCGTATTGGCGGTACAATAGGCCAGTTTCGTAATGTATTCAGAGACCTTTAAATCGCATTACGTAATCGGAGGGTTGGTCAAACAAGAGACTCGCGGTGCATAGCAGCCGACATTGTGTGTGCCTACAATACATGTTTTGACTATTGTCGAGGTGTGGTAAGAGAGAAGAAAAAGGGGGCAGTTTCAAACTTGAATAATATCCTTGAGATATGATTTTGTTCTTCATACATTTGATCTTTAAAATCGTTAAGTTTTAGGCGGCAATAATGGGAAAACATTGATGTTACGGAACGTGCAATAGCTTGCAGCCAGACCAGTTCGGCCTAGTCCTCCCTGCTCACTTAAATTCATAGTTTGTTACAGAAATCGCGTAAATGGTCAATTTGGGTCGAAATGGCCCAAATGACCAAGTGGTACATCATTTCAATGAAATTATATGTTCTGATATCAGCGCACATTTTTATACGGAATTTGCATGTCAAAACCCACTCATTAATTGATTCCGATTGGCCCGATTTTGGGTTAAACATTTTGATTCGCAGTGCTTAAAATATTATAAACTTCTAGATATATCACGCATATTGTTGTATGTACATACTACTCAAATAAATCCTTATGATCACCTCTTGAGAAGATGAATGTTTGATACAAAATAAATGAAGCTTTGTTCTGATTTTTATGCTTTCATTGAACTCTATAATAAAGGTCGTTTTGTATTCCATTTAAGCGGTTACTTGAGAAAGTTTCTGAGCACAAAGTCATGCATTATGTTGAGAAGGCCTGTACATGAGGCATCCATAACGATATCTCACTCAATACAAAAATTCCCATAATCTAAACACACACACACACACACACACCCACACGCGCGCGCGCTCACACAGTCGGTCTGTACACGCATACATACAAACGACGCGCGCCCACAAACGGGCACACATAATAATGATGATTTGAGTTTATTCATCCACAATGTGGAAATATGCTTTCCACCAGCATTACAATAATACGAGAAACAGAGTACAATAATATGAACAAATTAATCAAACAATTTCAGAACAGAAAAGATCTCGTCATTTCACATGAATAATACAAAATTGTTTAAGCCATCCAAAATTGTTAAACTTGATTAGATGATTAAAAATATCTTTGAAATAGCTTTATGATAACAGTTTATAAATTCAATTAATTATGATCATTATTGCTATTATTATTATTATTATTATTATTATTATTATTATTATTATTATCTCTTAACGAATTGGTTGAACATGTGGATAGAGTTTGGTACGAAGGATTGGCGGAAGCGTGCTCGGTTTGTGCGTGGGACGTTTAATCGAATTCCAGAACGGTTGAAAGAATATACCTCCATACAAACACGATGCTCTTACGTGTACCTCTAGCATAACTTTTGATTTTAGAAATTGTTTCATCAAAATTAATACACTGTCGCTCATAAAGTTGGAATATTTTTGTTTTACCCCAATGTATAAAATTATTTTAAAAATGATTTAAAAATAATAGATCTAGATAATAGTATACATTCTCAGATTTTATTGAATAATAATTTGACAATGTGTGTTTTGCGTGACTACTAAAGCATGTGTATGCTATACTGCTTAGCAACTGGGGGACCTACGACCTTAAGTCATAATGACAGTAATGAGGATTAATGCCCCACAAAAGGGCACTAATAAAGCACATCGACACGGCTTTGATCCTGGGGCCTCAAAGTCACGAGGCCATTGTTTGTCACTGAACGATGACTGTATGCAGTGGGGGCTAGGGTAGGGGGAAGTTTCCATAAATTTAAAAAAAACAGAAAATGCAATAAATTTTCAATAATTTATTGCATTTTACCCCGGTTCCCAACATAAAAAAATCCTATGTGTGCCCATGCCTTGAGCCATAATGCATGGCCGTCCAGAGGATTTGAAATCCCTGCGTTTGGATCAGCTGAATATTCACTCCTAGTTTGCATTAAAGCAGCAGTGAAAAGAATAATGCTTGCCCAATATACTGCTTAAAGATAAACTTGAGTTCTGGTAAAAAAAAGAAAATTAATTCTTACAGAATCAAACGAAAGTTACACTGTTCAAGATTACAAATAAATGACATGTGCCAAACAATGTTGGAAGAGAATGTATACTGGCTGAGTAATGAGCATAGAAAGACAAGGAAATCAAGATAGTACTAGCCCCGACACCATGTGTGTTGTCCCATATATAGCTTTCTCTGTACAGTGCTTGTTACTTTACCAAGACTCGGTCAAATTTATTATGATTTTGATGACTCCAGAACCTTGCAGTGCACACCAATACTTATATGCTACATGATCTACATGTTTCTGATCCTTTCCACACCTTTTCTTTCACAATGCAATCGCATTACCAGTACTAAAGTTTATCTTTAAAGAGAAGGTTGAGTTCTGGGGAGAGGTGAAAAATATTGGCGGTGAGCGTACCAAGCGGGCCCGCTTTAGAAACTCGTTTGTCCCCGATTCCATCCACATGTTCAATAGTAAAGTAATAAGATGAAAGGTTTCCTGAAGGTAAAGGGGAGAGGGGGGGGGGGGGGCGATACCGTTGATGTATTTTGGTACAAAGTATACTTTAACATTTAAAATGATTAATATTATTCATACATGAATATTTAAATTGAATATAAAGTTGTCAATGAGACCATATGATCATAATATAGTTAAAATTTAAAAGTATGATTTATTGTTCTAAAAAATTTTGTGTTGAGTTTATAAAGGTCAAGCTTAATTTATTGATATGACCCACTCACTGATTAATGAGCAATGTGTAACTTAAAATGTGTTCAATTGACCTATGCTTTATATATTTTTCAGTGTACAGTGCTTGTTACTTTACCAAGATTGGGCTAATTTTTTTTATCATTATGATGACTCCAGAAACTTGCAGTACACACCAATACTTAATTTGTTACATGGTCAACCTTTTCTGATCGATTCAACACCGTTTCTCTTACAATGCAATCACATGACCAGAACTCAACTTTGTCTTTGAGCACTAATGTTTATGTTTGCATAGCAACGATATGTGTAATCATCTAAAGCTCGATCTCACTTCACCCCCTTTCTCTCTCTCTCTCTCTCTCTCTTCCACTCTTCCAATCACTCTCTATAGTCTCAACCTATAGGCCTACATGTATTATTCTTCTCTTCTCTTTTCTTTACTTCTACATCAATAGGAACCCCCTCATTGATATCATTTTTTGTTTTTACAGTACTTAATCGTAATTTCTTTTTAAAATAAACGTTTAATTCATTCATAATGTGTTTTAATGTACACCGATGTTATTATGTATTCAGAAATTAATAAATAAAGCTATGACATGACATGACACTTCAACCGAACCCAATACACCAGTTTACAGTTGTATCAGTGCGCATGCGCAGACAGTTGACCTCGGGTCATTGGCCCCGGAACAGGGCCAAATTGGCCCTGTTCCGGGGCCAATAACCTCTGACCTCTGGTATTTATGCGTAAATTAAGATTGCGCCCATGCAAATGATGATATGCGCGCACAACGCAGCGCGCAGGCAGTGATATCATCATAATTTGCATGGGCGCAATCTTAATTTACGCATAATTACATGACCTCTAGGTCATTGGCCTTGTTTAAAATGGCGCACACAACTGTAAACTGGTGTATCAGACAAAATAAGCGCTAGATGTATGCAAGTTTGCTGATCAAAAATCCAAGGCTTCATCCAGAATATTTGACCTATATTTCGTGCACTCACTTATAACCCAGTCACACCAAAGGACCGACAACAGATCGAACACAATTTACATTGCCCTTTGATGGTAACGAATCGGTCGGTTAGGAGTCGATGTGAAGTCGGCTTGGCAGTGTGACTGAGTTTTCAACGTATACTACTGCATTAACATTTGGTCGACGTGCAGACAACATAATGACGTCATCCGACCACGTGATCTGCTATTGCTTCCGAGATACACAAACACAGATTGTGCGGTTATTGGCATAACAAGTACTTTTGTGTTGATTAAAAAGCCAGAAGTAGTTCTATAACCTGGACTACCTGTATGATATCGAATGTGATTTATTCCCAGAGTGTTCTCTGCACTCTTTTTGATAGAACTTAATTAAAAACATAAAACAACATAGAACTGATTGATCCCCTCACCATTGGCTAAAAACCTCATTATATCACTGGATAAAGATAAAGACATACCCTCTGCGAAGATGAATATTTAAACATTTACTGTCATGCAATAGCATCACAAAGATATTTGTTTATAGACAAAACACCCCCCACCCCCACACACAAAAAGAGGAAATTATACTGACATATTCTGTAATTTCTGTTACATCTGAGCATTTTAATGCTTTTGAGCTCTATTTGAACACACTAAGATAACAACGTTGAAGGTACAGGAAGTATTCCCCCATCTTTCCCTCTTCAACAAGTAAGTGTGTCTAAAAAAGTAGACTAAAACGTCCTTGCCCCCGCTGTATTTTATGATAAGTTAATATTCTCATGACCCAGACGTTATATAGCATTGTAATACAAATATCACGTTGTTCGTTAATAAAAGGAATGTTTAGATACATCGCACTGTCTGCTAATATCTGTAAATAATATTAAATTGTATCATATGAAATTATGAAGAGTTTTGGTCGAGAGTAACGATATCAAAATCACGTCCAATATTTGGGTACGTCAAAGCTGTCTGGAAACACAGACTATCTTCGATCATCGACAACGTGTCCTCAGATGACTTTTCTGGCCTACGTGCAAAACTTCACAAAATGTGATCACATCACGTGATCCGTGTTTTCTTCGGAAATACGCGTCCTGTGTTGTTATGGTCACTCTTCAACTCGGTGCATGCACCCTTGGTGGGTGGTACAATACTCAATTTCGATAATGAATGGTTGTGGAATTATTGAAATGATTTGAAATTTGAATGGAACATTCTTGAATTGCTGGCAAAACACAAACAAAAGAAAATTGTTGAGACGTGATTGCCCTCCCGGGGAAGTTTCTGTAGAAGCGTGTATAAATTTTAATGGCCATGTTCGTAATGTAAGCACATATTGTATGCATACATATGCCTTTGTGAAGTGCCTCAATACGAAAAAGTATCAGAATTCAAACAGTTGTTGCTACGGTAGGCCTATCCCTACCTCACTACGCAATTTGCACAGGTGAAGAAAATAATTCGCAAAGGCATATGCATAAATTTTGTTAAATTACGAAAATGGCTTTGGATGTCCACGAACATACACCGGTGTTGGATTTCGAGAAACTGGCCCCTGGTAAGCTTGCAGATAGTCTACGATATATATACCCAGTGGCGGATCCAGGGGGGGGGGGGCCCGGGGGGCCCGGGCCCCCCCCCTCGCGCCCAAGGGGGGTGCAAATTGAAAAATTTTTGAGGATCAAAAAAAAAAAATGTGCTCACTACCCCCCCCCCCCCCCCCCCCCCCCCCCCCCCCCCCCCCCCCCCCACTGAGCGAATTTTTGGCCGGCGCGTTTTTCAAATTTTCGGGAGCAAAATAAAAAAAAAATTTGGGCCCCCTCCCCTAAGAAATCCTGGATCCGCGCCTGTATATACCTACCGTAGGCTATGCTAATTATTTTTTGGGGCTTTAATACAACATGTGTAGGCCTATATGCATATCATGTTGATCAAGAATTTTAATAACATGCTGGAAAGGTAATGTAAACTAATAAAATAACCTCTTGCCAATCAATCACCGAATTACACCAATCATGCAAACCACTGCTAAAACTCACTCAGATCCTCTCTCCTAAAGTCTCCAAAAATATATTAACCGAGACCTAAATCAACACACCTCA